CGCGATGGGCTGACTCGTCTCTTAGGTGGTCGATGGAGATGCTGGCTCTGTTGACTCGGTTGTCCGTTGGAGGGCGGAGAGATAAAATGGTAATGAGTCAGGAATGTCCCAAGGGGGAATTCCGACTTCTGCTTCAGTCAGCACCATTGGTGAGTCAGGGATGTCCCATGGGGGAATCCAAGCTCGTGGTTAAGGCCCGAGTCCTCGTCTGAGCCGCCTAGAATACGGAGCACCCACTCATGTGGCTAAGTCTTTGCCCTCATTCTCTACAAGATTGGAACTCCAGTGAACAGCGCAGGCTCAACTGCTGAGCAGGGGACGTCCCGATGGGGAGTTCCCCGCTCACGGTTAAGGCCTATATCCTCATCAGAGCCGCATAAAATTGAGTGTATCACTCAAGTGGCTAGGCCTTGTCCCCGTCTGACCGCTTTATAAAGGAGCGCCCACTCAAGCAGTTAGGCCTTAATCCACGAATGGCTGCTTAAATAGAAAGACACTTGGTATCACTAGGAGTGCTGTATCTTGTTTGGATAGGGGATCTAGTCACTTAGCAAAGTCCTCTCAATGTGGGTGAGGTCTGCTATTGAATACCTACCCTAAACAGTTGCTAAATATGCAAATTTCCTTTGCGTCTGATTCTATTTGCTGAAAGTTTGATCAACCCGGCGTAGTGTGCCCTCTAGGCCCATGATGCATAGTGAAGCAGCCACCATGTTAGTCCTTCTTTTTCGGTATCGGAACCATCTAGGTATGTGAGGGAGGAGTCTTCTGCTTTCATTTTTGCCCCAACGGTCACCAAATATGCAGAGTAGCACCGATCCCCAAGAGGGGGTGTGGCAAGGATGCGCTTAATGAGGAATGTGTGTTACTGGAGGACATAAAGCCCCAGAGACCATTATTGGACTCACCAGAACATGGGGCTGTTAGGTAGTTCCAGAGATGGCCCGACCCAATGAAGAGCAATCTGCAATGTCTTGGCCGATGCTAGGACAGCTCTGCCATGTGTGGGGTCCTTTTGCAAGACGTTGGTGAGGTAGCATGTGGTGAATATCGAAGGGGTCTTCCAATATGCTGCTTTGCAAATCTCCTCCATTGACACATCCCAGAAGTAGGCCCAGGAGGTTGATACGGCCTGGATGTCATGAGCCCTGATGAGGCATCAAATTTGATTGTCCTGAGGGTTCGGCCAGTCCAGGTTTAAATAGCAACTTGATAGTCGAAACTGCCCATTTGGCTATGGTGTCTCTGGTCGAAGCTCAGTGTAGTTTTATTGTTGTGGTGAATATTTAGCTGCAATGTTGTACCTGTAAATTGTTTACTTCGGTCAAGCACCACTTAAGAGCTCTCAGCAGGGTTTGTCATCTGGGGTCCAATGTGTTTGGTAATGTCCAGCACAGATGTATCAGAAGGGTGAAAGGAGGTTGACTGGTTCTTGGTGAGGAAACCAAGCGCTGAATGAGACAGATGCTATGGGGTTCCCATCGGATGCGGCCCATGATCAGCTAGGGACAAGGCTTTGAGTTTTCTGCCTCGTTGTGAGGTAGTAACTGCCAGAAGAAAGGCCAGCTTCACTATTAAGATGAATAGTGGTGCTTCGTCGAGTGGCTCAAAGGGAGACCGGTCAGGAGTTGAAAAACGGCTCACAAGTGCCAGGCAGGAATTAGTGGAGGGGGACAGTGGAGTTGCCTGAGCATATGAGAACATGTCTGCTCGTGATGCTTGAATGAAAGGACCTCAGAGCGTTGAAAACTGCCTGGAGTTCCAGGATATGTTGATGTGACTCCCCCGCAGTCTGAGGTCCCAAGTTCCCAATGCTTGAAACGGAGGTAGGGAGACTCCCCAGCCTAAGTGGGAGGCATCTGTAGTTATGACAACATCCAAGCTCGCTCTGGGAAGGAGACTCCAGGTGAGAGGTGTCCCCTTGCCAGCCACCAACCACTGGAAATGGGGACGAATGAAGTCGGTCATCGGGACATGAAGGTTGATTGGGTCCCTTTTCAGGTGGTAGAAGGCCACGAGATGAAGTTGCAATTAGAGCCTATAGCGTGGGGTGAGGTCCACCATGCTGGCCATCAAGCCAAGAAGACAGAGCTAGGCACGAGCAAGAGCCGGCTGCTCGGAGGCAAGCACCCTTACACACTTCATAGGGTTTTTTATGTGTTTGGGTGAGGGTGAGATTATTCCCTGTTAAAGGTCAAGAATCGCCCCCAGATACGTCAGGTGTTGAGTCAGGGCAGGATTTGACTTCTCAAGGTTGATGATAAAGTCTAAGCAATTTGTGATATCGCAGGTTAGGTGGGTGATAAGTGCTGTTTCGTTGACCGATCTGCTGATGATCAGCCAGTCGTCCAAGTATTGGAAGAGCATGACATCCCGCTTTTGAAGAAAAATGGCGACGACCTTTGCCACTCTTGTAAAGACTCTCGGTGAGGTGGAGAGGCTGAAGGGGAGGGCTGTGAATTTGAACAGGTTCCCACTGTACAGGAAGTGCAGGAATTTATATCTCCAGGGATGAATCAGTATGTGAAGGTCTATGAAAGTCTTTCATGTCTAGGGGGACTGGATGACTGTCCGGAGTGTCTCCATGCAAAATTTCCTCTGATGGATGAATCTGTTTAAAGTCTGAGGTGGATGATTGGTCTCCAAGTGTCCTGTTCCTTTTTCGGAGTCAGGAAATATGTGGAGATGAGGATCTTGTTCATGAGAGACCTCGGAACATGGCAAATAGCTCATTTGTGAAGTAAGGAGATTATTTCGGACTCCAACGCCAGCACTTTGTGTCAGGCAGGACCTTAAACATCTCAACGCATGAGTGGTCCACAGGTAACCCCGGGAAAGGCGGCACTGATGCCTCTAGTCTAGCAGGGTGTCGTCTGAAGGAGGTGTGTGAGGGAGCCTCACCAGTAGATGGGTTGGACCGCAGGCCTGGAATCTGGATCATGTCTTTCTGAAGAAGTCGAAGATGTGCCTCCAAGAGAGTTAGACTGGCTGCGGAGGTGATGTCCTCGTCAAACCATGTTCTGCTTGAGGGTGGTCAGCAGAATGGGGGATGTCATACATGGAACTGTGATCACGGGCCTGAGCCAAGTGGGGGTCGTACACATGCCCCGAACCTGAGTATGCTGCAGGGATGGAGTTGTCCGGTTGCGTAGACGGATGCAGATGCAGACCGAGTGCCACAGGCAAGGGATCCACATCCACCAGGGGGTCCAGCATTTGGTCCCAGGCAGTTGGTTATTGAAGATAGTGTTTCCGAGAGGGAATGGACTGCTATCATGATGTCAGCTGGGGAGATGTTGTGGTGGGAAGAGGACCGCGACTTCTTATGCTCAGACCCGATGGAAGAAGATGGGAAGTGTTTATATTTCTTGCAACTGGGTGAACTGGTTTTAGACTTGTCAGATGAAGCCCGGAGTGGGGCGGAACAGGCTTGGTCGGACTGCAATACGCCTTCAGCTGCAGCCTCGGATACGGCCGTGTCAGAGAGCCCTAACAGGAGGCCTGAGGGTGGGGCGATGTATGGTGTCCAGAAGCCATGGCAGCGAAGGAGGCCGATGGGTTCTGCTGCTTTGGAATCGGTCTGGGGCCACCCCAGAGAGCAACAGGGCGTCGGCCTGGAAGGCAGTAGTGTCCAGTTCACACCTGGGTGCATCAGATGAAGGCGGTGGCAGAAGGCGGTGGCTTGTGGTGTGAGGCAGTCATTGCATCTGGTGCAGGGGCATGGGGCTGTCCCTGCGCGAGCCCTTGTGAGCCATACCGGTAGAATGGAGCGCTCTTGGGTGGGCACTGGTGGAGAGGAGACTGCTGCTGGAACTCGTCGCTCGATGATATGACGGGAAGCTGAGCGCAAGTAAGGTATTTCCGCTCAGACCCAGCATGTGGCGGAATGTTTAACCCTGAGTGCAGCACCACTCTGCACTAGACAAAGACTGCGATGCCCCGGTGGTGGAGAGTGGGAACTGAGGGTTTTGGATCGTTGCTAATCAGGACATGGTCGAGTCTTTAACGAAAGTCTGGGAATTAGCATGGAAATCTCAAGTATAGCATACTCCGCCACTCTATCAACCTGTCTGCCTAAAGGAGAAAGTTGGGGCCCGTGGAATGAATTGCTGCACCACCTCATGGAACCCCAACAAACCAAGGATTGCCTTATGACCCTATATATACTAGGAAAGCGGGGGTCTCGGAATGAATTGTCGCACTACCTTGCGAAACCCTTTTCAATCCCGGGTCTGTATATAACCTGATGGAAGGAGTGAAGAGTCAGTGGAGAAAAATGCCAACAAAACATGGAAATACACACTCACAATAAAAAATAAGATCAAAATCACTCAGGAACGTGGTAGCAAAACGGAAAATTCAAAAATTGAAGATGCCAAAAATTAAGAACCACGTTAAGAAAAAGGACGAACATGGCAGCTGCTCTGCTATGCATCGTGGGCTAGAGGGCAAACTATGGTTGATCAAGCTTTTAGCGAATAGAATCAGATGCAAAGGAAATTTGCATATTTAGTGACTGTCTAGGGTAGGATGAAAGCAGACCTTAGGATTACTTCATTTTTCCTTGAATTGGTTTTGTTAACCTTAAAATAACTCTCATGATCTTTGCGTTTGCTCCCAAGTTCCAAGAGTTAGTTGCTTCTGTATTTATTTCTGACAATTAATTTTGCAGCTGACAATATTCAGCTTAATATTCTGAGAGCATTCACCCTGAAATAATGGAAAAGGCGATACTGACTGAGGTATCATCAAATTTCCCACCCCCCCAACAAAATCCCAATGGAATTTATTTGCTGATAATTTTTCTCTGAAGAGTATTTAAACTTTGGTTACAAGTATGTTACCTGTCATGTAGGTCTATTAGGAGAAACTGCAGAAAAATCTCTAGATTCATCAATAATGCCCCACCAGACGTGCACAGAACAAAGACTGGCAGTGTCGGTTGTTTCATGAAACTGTAGACAACAAAAGTGCACGATCTGAGTTCAACAGATATCAACTCAATTTTGGATTCCCAATAAATTTTATATTGGATGCTGTTAATATGAGCACAAAAAAGGTCAACTGGACTGAGCATATTATGAACTTTCAAGGTAGGTCTACAACAATAAAAACAAATTTGACTAAAAGTAAATTAAGGGAATAACTGCATTTATTTCTAGGAGCATTACAAAAATCCACTTGAAAATACAGCTTGAGTAATTTAGTCAACCTAAGCTACACTATTTCTACAAACAGGTCTATAAGAAGCAATTTGTTTCTGCTTGCCTATTCTTAATCAGCTTTGTTAGTGTTGCATTATAATTTAACAAGCATCTTCAACCAAGATTCCATGGTACAAACTAAACACATATGAGGGTTGGTATTTTGAAAATGTTTGTGACACACAAAAAAGAATACTGCTATGCCCCATGTTCATTTCTCTCTTCTGCCCCAAATCACCCACAGTACAATAAAAAAGGGATAATCCAGAAAACAAAAATGAGTGAGCCAGTTTTTTGGTAACTTTGTACAAACTAAATAGATTTCCAGTCAGTGAAATTTTCGATACTTGCAGAGGCAAATTGTGCCTCTTCAAGTCACCAATACCTCGTAGCAAGTCAAAATAATCCCCCTTTTAATCCTTACAATGCTCACATTGAATTAAATTCTAGAAAATCAGTACCAAAATTACTTCCATGGAACTGTCAGTGAATAGACAAGTGGAACTATATTATATCTGTTCTGCTGACCAACAGCTAGATCCACTGCAGTTTATAAACATTAAAACCCTACAATTTCATTGTGAACAGAAAACAGTCAGAAATTACATATAATAATAAGCGGTCACTTCCCTTCCTACAGTTTTAGGCCCAACATATTTACATACGGGAAGCTGACAAGGTGCTATCTTACAGTTCCAATGCCATAAAACTTGAAATTCAAAACAAACATTACCTCAATCAAGCAACTGAAATACAACAAAAACCAATGGCTGTCTCTCTTTTGTTCTCAACTGTAAAACTGGATAAAAAAGACTGAACTTAAATACAGATTGTCCCACTGCTGTGTTTAACATTGTGTATGCAATGCTCCCATGAAGCAATTCACTGCACACATAAATGGACCACCATGATCTCTAATGGAATTAGAACCGCTCATAAAACCAACTGGTTGTTCTACAAATTGTCCTTGGACAAGCCTCCCACATACAGAGATCCTGCAGCTAGCATACTGATGTATATGTATTCAGCGAAATTCCACTGAGAATTACACTTAACTTTCATAGGGCAAACAAAAAGACTAACATACATGTACATACAATAATGTATCATTGGGAAATAACTACACTGTTTACCAACTTAGAAGTCTGAATATGCATGACTCCTGACAGCATGATTTGATGACAGCATCTTATAATGACTGGGACTTGTCTTTGCCTCTGTATATCAATGTCACCAAATGAGCTATTTTCTCCAAGGCAGAAGACAGTAGTAACTACATGTACAACAAGTAGCAAATATCTTTAACTTAAGTGTCCACGCAATGCAATTGTTTTACAACAACCTCTGCAACTGTACCTTTGTGATTCAACAAACTTATTTTCAATTTTTGTTTTGCCATTTTTACCCGTGTTTGGAATCTTTTTTTGTTTTCACGCAGATGAGAATTTCCATATTTGTGAACAAAAATGGGGTGCATCCCAGGCAATGAACCTCAATGTTGGACTGATTTGTGCATAAAAACTGCAGGAATATTTAATTTTTGCTGATGTAAATTTCTATTGGTTTGTTAATTTATTGTTTCAAATTTTGAAAATTGTGGACATCAAAACATACATTGGAAAGTGTTTTCCATGATTTATATCACAAACGCAATGCCTTCACTTGTCTAGAAAAGCTTGGACAATTTCTACTGTCTAAAAATGACCTAAGAATGAGCTTGGACATGCTTCATTTCCAGTATGCACTATTGGAATAACAAACAGGCTCATTGCAAGTATTGTGTCTTTACTGATGGGAAATTGATCCAGTCTGCATCAATGAGTACTCTACTTTATCATGTATTACACACACTAAAGTCATATGCATGTCTTTAACTTACAGATATCTCAGACAAAAAATCCTAAACATCCAATGCTAGAAGGCATTGTAAAAATCAACAGGCAAAAAAACCCAAACAAAACCAAACTATAAGACAGGAAATGACTTCAACTTCTTCTGGACAGCATGTATAAACAATGCTTACATGTCTGTGCATGCGTCAAATCATAACATGTTTAATGAAAACCTGTCTCCTTTGGTAACTCTAGGAATGTCCGTGATTCCCTTCTTGTCAAGCATGTATAGATATCCTTACTTCATACTGGCTTCCAACATTTTGGGTTGGAATCCCAAATGAGAACACTGCACACTTAATATTTCCATCTAGTGATTTCATATGCTGGTTGGTAGTAGGAGTTAGAGCGTCTTGTCTATGAGGACCAATGTCATGAAACCAACACTGAAGCTTAAGTTGGACAAAAGTTCCTGGTTCTACAACCTTGCCTGGATGATTATTAGAGCCATGGGTGCCACGCAGGATCCATGCGACACAGATTATCAGGACTATTAGCTGCTGCAACTAATGTACTGACTTTGCTCTCACCACCTTCAAACTGGGCAAGGTCTGCAGCAATAAGGACAAAAAAAAAACAAGGTAAATTTTGGAATTCCTAAAGAAGCTATTTATTTTGGTGTACTTTAGCATACTGTAAACTTCACAGGTTCAAATAACAGTCTTCATGAATCATGAAAAACAGAAGTCAGCATTACTTTGGACACCATTTTACAAATGCAGTAATTGGTTTTCAGAAAAACAGTAGACTGGCAGAAAACATTGGAGTGAATTATTTTGTTTTAAAACTAATGATATGAAAGAATAGATATGAATGTGTACTAACTTTGCAATCTAGTCATGATGGCACTAGCTGCTTTATTGACTGTTGAGATGAGAAGTTCGCTGTCCATATTGGATGGTTGTGAACCAGGCCCACTTGTGGTATCTTGCTTTTGCTGTGAAGAAAACATCATCATCATCAAAAAGCATTGATATAACATATCTAAAACGTCACAAATATCAGATTACAAGTTCTGGCAGAAAGCTTCAAACCGTGCTAAACATTGTAATTTAACGGTGTTACTAGCCCAAGTACTAGGAAATTGCAACTGCTATGATTCAGTGCAGAATAATGCATTAATTTAAAAGCTAATATCTCTTTAACAGATAGAATGAACCTTGGCTTTGGAGACTGCACAGAACAGTACATAGCACTGTGTAACTATTGCTAACAGTCAATGAAATGCAATGGACACATTACACAAAGGCACTCGTTTACATGCATATGGCAAAGAACACGAGTGACAAACTTTCATCAGATTGTGCACAAGCTGCAGTTTCTTTGTGCGTGCACTGCAAACATGGTTTAATATTTCTCTGCCAACAATGAGAAGAGTAGATGGCATCAAGCTCTGTCCTGGTGATTTACCTTTTTGTCCCAAGCTATCACCTCATCTCTGAGAATGGCCCTCAGTAGTGATGGAGTCTGGAAGGCAGGTTGGACAAAGCACCTTGCTGCTGCTATCATGCATGCTGTAAGGACACCATTGACTCCTACAGTAGTTAGGAATTCAGCTATGTTGGGTGTCAGACGGAATGGAACTGGCCGATTGGCGTCCAGCTCACCTGTACAGGATCATATGAACAACTAATTTAGAAAACTTGCTGTTTCATTTTGTTTCTGTTAAGGCTGCAGTTCAGAGAGACTGAAGACAGTTTTAGCCTACAGCATCCTCTACCTGAAGTCAATTTCATGAAAGCTGGTGTAACTTTGCATCATGCATAAGCCTTCACCACAAATCTGTGGCAAAGCTGCTCAATGTACTTACAACAATTTGAAGAAATGTTGCTTAGCTGCCTAACATTTTAAATGATATTGACATCCTTGGACCAGGACAATCATAGCTTTTACAATGGCTGCTCCTTGTTAATGTAACAGCAATAATTAATGGCTTTTAAATTCAGCACCATTCACAATTTGAAAAATGTTTTCTTCTTTTCTTTATCAGATCAGTACAGAAAATCTTAAGGTGCTCTCCCAGCCAAGTTTTTCATTACTTCCATAAAACAAATTTGTCTTAAACCAAACAAGATTAGTTGGTAAAAATCACCCATTTCTGATTTATTCGGTGCAACTTACACCATCTAAAATGATAGCATAGTTACGCCATTAGCTGTTTCAGAGGTCAATGAGGTCATAGACTTACACAGTGGATGACCTTTGTGAAATTTGTCATAACATGTAGTGCAACTTAAACAATAAAACTGGGCATATATAAAGCTGTATTATTGCGTAAAGTGTCGTGAAAATGAGCTGTTGGAGGATGAATGATAGCATAGAAATACCTAATGCAACTGAAATAGCACTTGAATTGCCTCTCTAAAACTCAGTCTCAGAGCTCGAGTAATTCGAATTTTTCTGAAATATTTATCACCTTCAAATTCAAAAATAATTTCCTGTTTCCATCCACTCTTCCATTCAATTTTCTGCACCTCAAGTGCTTGTTTTGAAAGACTTCTCTGAAACTTGTGACTTATGGTTCAAAGACATATGGAATCTATTTACAAAAAAAATACAATCGATAATATGATCTAGTGAGTATGACATTTAGTGAGCATTTCTCATGGACACTTTAATGGGCTCATTAATGGTTTCATGGATTCCTTGAAACATTTATCTGATAACTGCCATTTTCTTAACATTTCATTTCTTAACATCTTTTTTTTCTTAACATTTCTTTTATTAACATTTCTCAGGGTGTTTTAAGGCTTTTGGGGATCATAAACTATTTTCATGTCGATGGACAAATCAGTGGGGTCATTCTTAGGTGTAAGTTTCAGTACCCGAGTTACTTGAAGCACTACAGACAGCCAGGATAATTAGTTTATTGCAGGTTGCTTCTTTGTTCACTTTTAAGTCAAAACTTTGTGTAAAATGTTCAATAAACTATCGGTTCACAGTTCATAAAAATCCTGTACAATGCCTCAAGTAAAACCACGGAAACAGTTACAGTTAACCAATGATTAACCATGAACTTTCAGGCCTGTATGACACATACAAAAAATGTTGTTCTTTCATGTACCTGTGGCATCGTCAATGTCAAATCTAAAGTAGAAGATTGACAGGAGACCAGAGTTCCGTTCCACTTGAATGATCTCTGGATTCATACGGGTCAGGTGCATGACAAACTCAACCAAACCCAACAAGGCTAGTTGGGATGTGAACTGCAACAGGTAAACAAAGACATAACAGAAGGTATTCCATCAGATTAAACGATGTGATGTTCATTCACCTTGTGCAATATAGCAAATTCATTCCATTCACATTTTAAATGAAATACACCAATGCAAGGACCTGTCAATGAAATCCTGGGAGGAAGAGATTTTCCTCTGTCATTTATGCAGAAGAGACAAATATGAAAGGAAACAAAAAGAAAGGAACAGAATTTTAAGGTATGAACAAGCGGAGAATACCAACATATTTCTTCACCAAGGGGGGCCCTGAATTCTTCACTTAAGATTACCGATGTCAATTTGGTATAAAAAATTCCAAGACTTGGTAGACTAGTGATTCTTTCCACTTGCCAATGACTGTAAGAAGTACTCCAAAACTTAATGTCTACGGAGCTCTACCTACCCAAACAGTCACTACATATGCAAATTTCCCATGTGCCTATTATTCATTCGCTGAAAAGATTTGATCACCCGTGGTGCACCTGACCTCCCACAATGCAACGCGGCCTCGCCGCCATGATCGTCCTTCTTTTCTCAGCGCCGAAACTTAACGGACGTGTCTTTCAAGGCATCTTCGATTTATCGAGCTTCCGTTTTTTGCTGCACGGTTCTATGTTGATTTGATCACCTTTCCATTCTTTGTAAATAAATTGTAGCCTAACTTTTATCCATTTATTGGTAAGAGTGTTCTTTTCATGTATATTTTTGTGTTCTTTCTTCGTTTTTCCTGTATGTGCACCTTGCAGGTGCTTACCGTCGCTACTACGAGGTTCGGTACGCCATGCCTTTCGCCCGACATCGCCCAGAGGAATCCACGCTGGCCAGTGCGGCCATTAGATTTGCTTATCCAGTCTGGCTGTCAAGCTCTGATGAATGTAGTCAACACTACATCAGGATTCATGATATGGAAGCAGTATCTGCATCTTGGTCTTACTTTTAGATAGTTCCATTGCAGACATCTGCAAAACTGCATGCTGGAACTTGAGGGATGTCCTGCAGAGCGACATCAGAAATGGCAGGACAATCCTACTGTCCGCAGCGCAAAGGTCAAAGGACGGACGATAAGTCATTATGAAGTTCCTTTATTATTTCTGAAATTTATACATTCATCCTTGTTTATATGTAAAAGTGTATTCTCAGCATTAGATGTGTCGTCACCAACCCCCCACCTAGACCGGTGCTACTCTGCATGTGGAGTGACTGTTTGGGTAGGTGGAGCACCATAGACTCCTTCCCCACATTAAGTGTAGGTCGGGTCTACTAGAGAATACCTACCCAAACAGTCCTCTCCCGCCCGTCCTCCCCACTCTGGCTCCGACCTTTTGAGTCGCTTTCGAAAAGAAGGACGATCATGGCGGCGAGGCCGCATTGCATTGTGGGAGGTCCATGAGTGATCAAATCTTTTCAGCGAATGAATATTACGCACATAGGAAATTTGCATATGAAGTGACTGTCTGGGGAGGTATTCTCTAGTAAACCCCATCCACACTTAATGTGGGGAAGGAATTTCGTTTAAGTTTGATGGGTTTTAAGGACTAATTTAAGAACCTATCCAGATTCCCACTAGGTCTACAACTCACCATCTTGCGAAATGCAAAGTAGTCGGTGGCATCTGGGAATGTCTGTACCACCCATTCCTTCAACATGCCTTTAGGGACTGTATTAGTCTGTACCTCCTTCAGGACATCCCGGAGCACCTGATGACTGGCCTGAGAGCCACGTGATTGGACAGTTGCTAAGCGCTCATAGTAACGATTGATGGGTGCATCATATTCCACCTGATGCTTGGCACATCGCTGTCAAACAAGAAAGACAACGCTCCTTAATCCCAAAAGTGCACATTTCAAGAAATCAGTGAAGGTAAGGCTATTTTCATATCAGTGTTTGTGAACCCATATAGGAGCTGAGCAATGTACCTGTGTTGGACAGCCTGGAAGCATTTATACTGCAATCTACCTACAAAGGTTCATAAAGCAGGGAGCTTGTTTGTGTTGGAAGGCACATCCAGATTTTCTGGGTTGGACTTCATACTTAAGGCCAAATTTCATGTGTCTGGTAACCATGGAATTTGACTCTTCTGATCAGCACTTTGATCCTCAGTTATGAAATGTGACTGTACAGAAATGCATGCATTCAAACTCTCCAGAATCTTCTGTAAGTGTTTCATTAACCCTAACTACACCAAGTTCCTCAAACTATTACTGTAGATATGTGAAGTTTTGGCTGATTCAGTACCATACAGTATAAACTTGTTTAACTTCATTGCATTGAAGAATGATGGCCTGGGATGACAGTGATGGATTTCAGTTTTAGTAGGAACATACAGTGGTTGCTCCATGGAGTGACCTGCTGGTGTTACCATGTGTTGGACTGTGCTTGATATTGTCAGGTGTTGGTACTACTCTCTACAAGTCACTTCTACAGTGCAGAGACCTATCCATACCAAATGACTCAAACTTCAACAATGTTGACCAGTCAGAGTTTAATGGATTCTGTGCAGTCACATGCCAGTGATTACAGTAACCTCTAGCAGATACAAGAAGTATCTGGTTTGAAGGGGGTCAGGCTTAATGGCACATGTCACCATGAAATCAGCCCCTAGTTCTGAGCAAAGTTGGTTTTGACACAAGTAGACATTGAAATTATGCTTCTAGTGAGAAATGGCAAGTAACATCCATATGAATTTCTGCACTGCCTAGTTACATTGTGATATAGCTCATGTGTAACCCTATCCAGCGATTTCAATGCATGTGAAATGATTTCTTAGAGGTATATGTACCTGTTTGTAAATGTCCAAAAGAAATAATGATGATGGAGTGTCTTCAATCAGCCTCATCTGTGGAGACACAGCAACCACTTTGGGGACTGTAAACTGAAGCTGTCTCTTGGCTGTCTCCTACAATAGAAAGAAACCAAGTCACATGACTAACTAATACACCAATGCTCTGTGTACTGTTATATTTGACCATTACAGGAAACACTGCCTGGCGTTTGACAGAAGCTAACTAATAATGTAATTTAAATGCATTACTTATACATTGGTAGGGCCTTTCAGTTCTGACAATTGCTCTTCAAACCATATAATGTAAGGTTATACAGTGTATGGTGCTGAGGGATTAAACCTCTACATCT